GCCGCCGAGCGACGAGCACGATGCCGGCGCGCATGTTGTCGTCAATACCCGAGCGCGTGTGGATTTTGCGCTCACTATTGACGCACGCGGCCATTGCAGGGCATCCGTTGCATTTTGTGTTCATACGCGCGCGAGCTCGGCTCGCGCCGGCCAGGGTGCGGCCTTGGGAATATGGGAGGGGCCCGAAGGGGATCATCATCATGATCATCAGGAGTCGGATAGAAGGATTGGGAAGGTGATTGAGGCATTGAGGCCGCCTGCAGCCCCACCGTGCTGCTCGGCCCTGGCCGCGCTCCGCCGCTCCGCCCCGACATCGGGGCGCGGGCGGGCCCGCCCTTCCGCCCGCCCCGACATCGGGGCGAGCCGGGCACGCGACGAGCTGAGCTCGACACCTGAGCTCAGCTCGACTTCTTCATCGGTGCGCGCTGGACGCGCGAAGGCGGCGACGTCGAGAGAGCTAGCCATCGGGCCATCGCGTCCCTCGTTCCTCCCTCCTCCTCCTCATCCTCCTCCTCCGAGGTCCTCCTCCTCCTCCTCCTCCTCCTCCTCGTCCTCCTCCTCCTCCTCCTCGTCCTCCTCCTCCTCCTCATCCTCCTCCTCCTCGTCCCCTCCTACAGTAGCCTCCTACACATCCGAACGGGCCCCGCCCGAGGGAGGAGGAGGAGGAGGAAAAGGAGGATGAGGAGGGGGAGGAGGAGGAGGAGGAGGAGGGGGATCGGAGAGGAGGAGAGGAGGAGGAGGAGGAGGGGGAGGAGGAGGAGGAGGAGGAGGAGGAGGAGGAGGAGGAAGTAAAACTTGAGGGCCGCAGTCCTCGCCCTCCTTCCATATCTTCCTTTCCTATTTCGCCGCCGCTCCTCCCTTACGGTTGCGATGACTCGATGCCCCGCCCCAGCCAGTCGCCGCGTCGGCGTTCGGATTCGGGCAACCCGTGGATCCACTCGTCCATCCATGTAGCTGCTGGGAGAGGGTAAATCAACGCTTGCATCGCCGTCCATCCGCGTAACTGCTGGGCGTGGGCGTGGGCCCATGCGTGACATTAAGACACCATACGTACAGTACGTGTCAACTCATCTCCACTCCTCATCATCGCTATCCTGATCATTATCCTCATCGTCATCCTCGTCGTCATCGTCATCCTCGTCATCGTCGTCATCGTCATCTCCACCACTCCTCATCGTCATCCTCGTCGTCGTCATCGCGTCTCCTCTGCGTGGCGCCACCTGCTCATCATCCGCCTCCTCCGACCTCCTCCTCCTCCTGCTCATCATGCCCCCCCCCTCCTGCCCCCTCCCATGCTCGTGCTCCTCGCGTCATCTTCTTCATCCCCCCCCCGCTCGTCGTCGCCGCCGCCTCGCAGGGTGAGCGGCGCCGCGTCCTGGCGGCCCGCCGCGGCCCGCTTGGCCAGCGCTGTGGCGCTGCTGCGCCGCTGCGCCGCCCGCCGCAGCCCGCCCCGCTCTCTCGCGCCGAAAGCGGGGAGATCGGAGACGGTCCGAGACGGTGGGACGAGGCAGCCCCGTCACGAGGCTGGCACAAAGAAGAGGTGCGGTGGGGGAGGAGGAGGAGGAGGAGGAGGAGGAGGAGGAGGAGGAGGAGGAGGAGGAGGAGGAGGAGGAGGGAGGAGAGGGGAGGAGGAGAGGAGGAGGAGGAGGAGGAGGAGGAGGATCAGGAGGAGGCGGGCGTGGATGATGCGAGGATGAGGAGGATGAGGATGGGAGGGATTGAGAGGATGCGGAGGGGGTGGCAGATTATGGCGGAAGAGGAGGATAAACGATGATGAGTAGGGAAGAGAGGAGGAGGGGGCGGGGCGAGGATGATGAGGAGTGTCGATGGTCGTTGGTCGTTGTGTTACGTTTCTGGGACCTTTGGGCATCCTGCGGCGCCATCGCGGACACTGCTGGATCCGCTTCGAATCTTTGGCCAGCTGGGTTTGATGCCGCAGGTGCAGCGCGCGCGGAGGGGAGGGGTAGTGCCAGATTGGTAGTAGGGGATTGGCGATGATGAGGGTGAGAGGAGGATAGGATGATGATGATGATGATGATGGTGAGGAGGAGGAGGAGGAGGAGGAGGAGGAGGAGAGATGGCGAGTAGGAGAGGAGGAGGAGGAGGAGGAGGAGGAGGATTTCTGCCGGGCAGCGACGGCGCCGACGACGCCGACGACCGCAGTGGTGCGGAGTGGGGGGGAGCGCAGCTTCGACGACCTCGTCGTCGTCGAGTCGTCGTCGTCGTCGCCGTCGTCGTCGTCGTCGTCCTCCCCCATCTTATTCTCTCCCACGCCGCATGCTATGGCTTCTCTCCTTATATAGATAATTCCCTTCCTCATCCCCTCCTTTCCTCCCTCCGCCATCCTTTACCTCCTCTTCCCCTTCCACCGTCAGTTGCTTCCATTCACACTACTTTCGAATCAGTGCTTGCAGCGTCAAGTGCGATGTCCACGTTATACGCACAGGGCGAAGGGAGCGCCATAGAGCGCGACTCGCGGCACCACGCCGTCTTCACTTACCGTAAGGTTAGGAGCCACCCTAGGAGTAGACGGAGGGGAAGGAGGCGGAGGAGGAGGAGGGGGAGGAGGAGGAGGAGGAGGAGGAGGAGGAGGAGGAGGAGGAGGGAGGGGGTGAGACAGGGAAGAGCTACCAATCAGGAAAAGGTATGAGGGAGGAGGAGGCGGTATTGGAATTCGGAGGTGAAGGGGAGGGACGAGAGCGGAGGATGATGATGCTGATGAGGGGAGGAGGAGGAGGTTGGAGGAGGAGGAGGAAAGAGGAGGAGGAGGAGGAGGAGGAGGGGCGGAGGAGGAGGGGGCGGAGGAGGAGGGGAGGTGGATGTTTTTCGGAGGAGGAGGAGGAGGAGGAGGAGGAGGAGGGGGAGGAGGAGGCGGATGTGATGATGATGATGAGGAGGAGGAGGGAGGAGGAGGGAGGGAGGCGGAGGAGGCGGAGGAAGAGAGGTGGCGGAGGAGGGGGAGGAGGAGGAGGAGGAGGAGACGGAGGAAGGAGGGAGGAGGAGGAGGAGGAGGAGGAGGAGGAGGAGGAGGAGGAGGAGGAGGAGTAGGGAGGGAGGAGGAGGGCGGGGAGGCAGGAGGAGAAGGGAGGAAGAGGAGGCGATAAGAGGAGGAGGAGGAGAAGGAGGAGGAGGTGGTTGTGGAGGAGAAGGAGGAGGAGAAGGAGGAGGCGGACGCGGAGGAGGAGGCGGAGGGGGGAGGCGGAGGAGGAGGGGTGATAGATGATGTGATGATGTGTGATGATGATGATGATGGATGATGATGATGGATGATGATGAGGCGGAGGAGGAGGAAGGAGGAGGAGGAGGAGGAGTAGGAGGCGGAGGAGGAGTAGGAGGCGGAGGAGGAGGAGGCGGAGCTGGAGGGGGATGATGCTGCTGATGCTGATGATGAGGAGGAGGAGGAGGATGAGGAGGAGGAGGAGGAGGAGGAGGATGAGGATGATGTTGATGTTGATGATGATGATGATGAGGAGGAGGAGGAGCAGGAGGATGAGGATGAGGAGGAGGAGGAGGGGGACGTAGAGGAGGTGGGAGGAGTAGGAGGCGGAGGAGGAGGAGGCGGAGCTGGAGGGGGATGATGCTGCTGATGCTGATGATGAGGAGGAGGAGGAGGATGAGGAGGAGGAGGAGGAGGAGGAGGATGAGGATGATGTTGATGTTGATGATGATGATGATGAGGAGGAGGAGGAGCAGGAGGATGAGGATGAGGAGGAGGAGGAGGGGGACGTAGAGGAGGTGGAGGATCCTGCTGGGAGCTAACGCGCCGTCGAGAGGCCGAAGGCCAGTCGTCCGACGATGTTTTCTTTTCGGCCGCAATTGTTCTCCTCCTTTTCGTCCGCCGACCCTAGGTCAACCAAACGATGTTTTAAGAACCTTTTGCTGTTTCCACGAAGTGTTCTAAGAACACTTATGGCTGGGACGGTCTTGTTTTAGCACATCGGGCTCATGTTCTAAGAACTTTGTTTTTTCAGGACATGTTGGCGTTCTAAGAACATTCCGCGGTAGGCCTATAGGAATGCCGGGACGGTCGGTCCCTGCTCAAATTTGAAGGTTGCCACTTCGGCCGCCGACCCCGGTTTTGTGAAGTGGACTGGGGCAGGTAACCGAACAACAGAACGGCATGCACGATTCCTCTAAGGTCCGCGCGGGTTTCTTGGAACTGCGCTCGAACCCCCTCCCTCGGCGCCTCCGGCGCCGCTGCTGGCGCGCTCCGCGCGCGCCAGGGAGGGGGGTCTAGCACGGATCCGAGAAATCCGAGAAATTCTAGATGTTTCGCGTATCCCCACCAGCCCGGAAGGACTTCCTGGTGTGCGCCGTCTTGTGAGCGGCAGCGAGGCGTGCCTCCTGTTTGCCCCCCTCCCGCTTGGTCTTTCCTCTTTCGCTCTTCCTCATCCCTTGCGCTAATTCAGGCCGTTGCTAGTCTGCTCCGCCCCCTGACGCCGCCCGACCTCTCGCCGCCGTCGCGATCGAACAAGTATCCCGACCAGTATTTTGAGAAACCTTGCCCATGAGAGCTGACGGGGAAAGGGACGAAATGGCACAGATAGTGTGAACCAAAGGTAGCGACCTGGGTGAACAGAGAGATCTCTGTGAGCAAAGGGGTGGCTTTGGTGGGCCCCTTCTGGCCACCCCTGGGACCCAAGTGCGGGGGGGGGGAGGGGGAGGAGGAGGAGGAGGAGGAGAAGGGGGAGGACGAGGAGGAGGAAGAGCAGGAGGAGGGTGCGACGACGACCACCACCATGACGACCAGGAGGAAGAAAACGACATCGACGACGATGAGGGCAAGGACGAGGACGAGGATGAGGAGGAGGGCAACGAGGACGAAGACAGCGCCTTCAACATCGCCTCTTTGAGTCCTCTTGGCACGTTGGGGGGATCTTCGGGACTTCGAAGCAAGGGGCAGGAATGAGTCGGAATCTCCATGAACACGCAGCAGCGATGACGAGCATGCGGGAGCAGGAGCAGGAACTGCGGGCGTGCAGGATCCCCACGGGTGCCAGGTCTATCCGGGGATGGTGCTCATGAAGGAGGGCAACTACGGCAACGAAATGTACATTCTCCATATTGGAGAAGTTAAGGTTTCAGCTCATGTGCATGGTGCCAAGGAAGGAGGAGGGGGAAGGATGGATGGGTCAGGAAGGGAGAAAGAGAGGAGGAATAAGGGAGGGCTGCGAACAACAGGCGATCGTGAGGTAACTCCAGTGGGGTTCGTGTGATGGACTCGGGCAGCTCGCGAGGGAAGGATGGATGGATGAAAAGGAGCAGCAGGTGGAGAATGAGGATAAGGGCGGCGATTGGGGAGGAGAGGGAACTAAGAGGAGGTTGAAGATGATGATGATGATGATGATGATGATGATGATGATGATGATGATGATGATGATGATGATGATGATGACGATGATTAGAGATGGACCGAGATAGAGGGAGGCAAGGAGATGGAGCAGGAGGCGGCGGAAGGAGGAAAGAGGCGATACTTAGGAAACTTGGGGTATGGACTCTCTCTAGACCCACGCTCCTGCACCAAATGCACATGTCTGCCGGACTACAAACGCAATGCATAACCACGCAAGACAAGGCCAGCCGACACGGCCATGGCAGCATCATGCCAGTCATCTGCCGCCGCTGAAATCTCGTGCACGTTCCAGAGGTCGACTTCTAACACGACCAGCAGGGGCTCCGAGGCGTTACAACACACGGCATACTATTGATCGACCCCCGCCTAAAAAACCGGACCCCCCTCCAAATGCGACCTAAGATTCCGGACCCCCCTCTTCGACGGGGCTCCTTAATAAACCAGACCCGCTAAGCTCCAATCCAAAGAAATCACAATAATAAAGCGGACCCTCCTAGGTACAAAAAAGGCGCCTTACAAAAACCAGACCCGGGGGACGATTAATCAGGGATTTGGAGTGTGTATTTCGCCCATGCTGCTGTTTGTTTCATGAGGCCTCTGCCCGCTCGCAGAATTACACATGTTTACACGTAGTTCTGAACGTCTCCCAGGTTGACGGGGAGGCAGAGGAGGAGGAGGAGGAGAAGGAGGAGGAGGAGGAGAAGGAGGAGGAGGAGGAGGCGGAGGAGGAGGAGGAGGCGGAGGAGGAGGACGAGGAAGAGGAGGAGGAGGGAAGGAGGAGAAGGAGGAGGAGTAGGAGGAGAGGCTGGATAATTGTGGAGTCGTTGTGGGTCCCAGAGAAGTTCGTACGATCTTTCAGGTTGCTCCTCATCATTACCCTTACCATTACCACTTCCATTACCATTACCATTGCCACTACCACTACAACTACAACTACCACTACCACCACCATTACCAGTACCTTTACCATTCCAATTCCCATTCCCGTTACCATTACCATTACCATCGCCATTGCCAGTACCAGTGCAATTGCCATTGCCAGTCCATTCCCATTCCCGTTACCATTACCATTACCATTACCATTACCATTGCCATTGCCATTGCCCTTAGCCACTACCATTACCATTGCCTTTACCTTTCCCTTTGCCCTTACCCTTACAATTCCCATTCCCGTTACCACTACCATTTCCATTTCCATTCCCATCCCCGTTACCGTTTCCATTACCATTGCCATTACCTTCACATTTATGTTTACCTTTACCATTACCATTACCATTACCATGACCATGACAATTGCCATTCCCATTGCCATTGCCATTATCATTACCATTACCGATGCCATTGCCATTGTATTGCCGTTGCCAGTCGCTACCCCGTTACCATTACCATTACCATTGCCATGGCCATTGCCGTTGCCGTTCCCATCGCCATTGCCATTGCCATTACCATTACCGTTGCCATTGCCATTGTCATTGCCATTGCCAGTCGCTACCCCGTTACCAGTGCCATTACGATTACCATTACCGTTACCGTCACCAACACCATTACCAGTACCATTACCATTACCACTGTCATTACCATTGCCATTGCCATTAGCCACTACCATTACCATTGCCAGAACCATTACCCTTCCCATTCCCATTCCCAATACCATTACCATTACCACTTCCATCACCATTACCACTTGCCGTTAACATTACCTTTATTTTTACCCTTACCTTTTACCCTTTACCTTATGGTAGCGGCAATGGCAATGGCAATTGCGATTCCCATTTCCGTTACCACTACCATTACCATTTCCATTCCCGTTGCCGTTCCCATTCCCATTCACATTACCATTACAATTACCATTGCCATGGCCATTACCATTGCCATTGCAATTGCCAATCCCATTGCCAGTGCCATTCCCATTACCGTTGCCATTGTCATTGTCATTGCCATTGCCAGTCGCTACCCCGTTACCATTACCAGTACCATTACCAGTATCAGTACCATTACCATTGCATTTGCCATTACCTTTTACCATTGCCATTGCCATTGCCATTGCCATGACCACTACCATTACCATTGCCATTGCCATTACCATTACCATTACCATTACCATTACCGCTGCCATTACCATTACCGCTGCCATTACCATTACAATTCCAATTACCATTCCCATTCCCATCTCCATTGCCATTACCGTTCCATTACCATTACCTTTACCATTCCTTTTCATTACCATTGCCATTCCTATCACCTTTACCATTTCCATTACCATTACCATTGTTATGGCCATTACCATTGTCATTGCCATTGCCATTCCCATTGCCATTGCCATTGCCATTCGCCACCCCGTTACCATTACCATTGCCGTTGCCATTACCAGTACCAGTACCAATACCATTACTTCTGTCATTACCATTGCCATTGCCCTTAGCCATTACCATTGCCATTACCATTCCCATTACCAGTACTACCATTGCCATTACCACTACCACTACCACTACCATTTCCATTCCCGTTCCCGTTCCCGTTCCCATTCCCATTTCCATTCCCATTACCATTACCATTACCATTTCCATTACTACTACCATTGCCATGGCCATTACCATGGCCATTACCATTGTCATTGCCATTGCCATTGTCCTGCCATTGTCATTGCCATTGCCATTACCATTACCGTTGCCATTGCCATTGCCATTGTCATTGCCATTGCCAGTCGCTACCCCGTTACCATTACCGTTACCATTACCAGTACCAATACCGTTACCATTGCGTTTGTCATTGCCATTACCATTACCATTGCCATTGCCATTGCCATTGCCATTCGAGGATTTCAGTAGGAATCATTCAGTGGAGGGTTTCAGTAGGAATCCACATGTGGAGGATTTCAGTAGGAATCATTCAGTGGAGGGTTTCGATCGGAATCCTTCTGTCGAGGATTTCACTATGAATCCTTATTGTGGGGGCGTTCAATAGGAATCCTTCTAGGGATGAGGGCAGATGAGGCCACGTCGCATTCTTTTTTTTGCCGCCGACCCCCCCCCAAACAAACAACAACAACAACAACAACAACAACAACAACAACCAAACATCCGCGAATCTCAATTCCGAATTCTTGTTCGGGTGGGGGGCACCAGGAGAAAACAAAACAGAGAGGGAGGAGGAGGAGGAGGAGGAGGAGGAGGAAAACGAGGAGGCGAAGGCGGAGGTGAATCCTTATTGTGGGGGCGTTCAATAGGAATCCTTCTAGGGTGGTGGGCAGATGAGGCCACGTCGCATTCCTTTTTTTCCGTCGCCGACCCCCCCCCCCCAAAAAAAAAAAACAGCAAAAAACATCAGCGGACTATGAATTCCGATGTTTTGTTGTTTTCTTTTTTGGGGGGGGAGACACCAGGAGAAAAAAAAAAAAAAAAAAAAGGAGGGGGAGGAGGACAGAAAGGAGAGGGAGGAGGAGGAGGAGGAGGAGGAGGACGAGAGGAGGAGGAGAGAACAGTCGCGAACGCAGCGCGAAAGCCTCGCGCGCGCGCGCCCGGACCCTGCGCCCCTGCGAATCCACAATTTCCCGTTCTCGAGGGGAGGTGGGGGAGGAGGAGGAGGGAGGAGGAGGGAGGAGGAGGAGGAGGAGCGGAGGAGGAGGAGGAGGAGGAGGAGGAGGAGGAGGAGGAGGAGGAGGAGGAGGAGGAGGATGAGGAGCGAAGGAGGAGAGGAGGGGAGGAGGAGAGGAGGAGGGAGGGGAGGAGGAGGAGGAGGAGGAGGAGGAGGGGAGGAGGGAGGAGGAGGAGGAGGAGGAGGAGCGGAGGAGGAGGAGGAGGAGGAGGAGGAGGAGGAGGAGGGGGAGGGAGGGGGAGGGGGAGGGGACGGGGGAGGGGGGATGGAGGAGGAGGAGGGGGAGGGGGAGGGGGGGGGAGGGGAGGGGAGGGGAGGGGGAGGGGGAGGGGGGGGGGGGAGGGGGAGGGGGGAGGGGAGGGGGAGGGGGAGGGGGAGGGGAGGGGAGGAGGAGGAGGAGGAGGAGGAGGAGGAGGAGGGAGGAGGAGAGGAGGAGGAGGAGGAGGAGGAGGAGGAGGAGGAGGAGGAGGAGGAGGAGGAGGAGGAGGAGCAGGAGCAGGAGCAGGAGCAGGAGCAGGAGGAGGAGGAGGAGGAAGAGGAAGAGGAGGAGGACGAAGAGAAGGATGTGCAGGTGCAAATAGAGGAGACTAAGGATGATAAGCAGCAGGAGCACGAGCAGGGAGAAGAGACGGCGAGTTACGGGCGCCCACGGCTCTTCCGACATGTTGCCGGTCTCTCCCATCGCATCGTATTCGTTTCCATTTGTTTGTTCTCATTGCGTCTTGCACGGGAGGGCGAGCGAACGCATGCGATGTTTTGACGCCCATTAGCTAGCCTCAAGCGCAAAGCGTTGGTGCCCCTCCTCCCCATGCACCCCCCATCTCCCAAGCGTTTCAGTCATGTATTCGTTCGAACCCTAGTTTGGTCTTGCGTCTCAGACTGAGCCCAGGTCCGAGTCCGGGAAGAGTCTCGATTGGGTATGTCCGGGCCTCCCAGATGGGATCGGAGTAGATGGGATCGGAGGATCGCGCCGCATCGCCGATGCATCGGCGATACATCGGCGATGCGGCTCGATGTGGAGCCCGATCTTCTCCACGCCGACGTCGCCGACGCATCGCCGACGCATCGCCGACGTCGCCGATGCATCTCTGGTGCATCGCCGATGCGTCGCCGATGCATCGTCGATGTATCGGCGATGCGGCGCGATCCTCCAACCCCATCTACTCGCTCCCCATCTGGGAGGCCTCTGGTATGAGGGGTTGGAGGAGGAGAGACCCGAGATGGAGGACGAGGAGTCGGAGCCCGTGTGGCCCTGTGTGGGGGGCGCCTGGGCTCTCGGGTCTCGCTGCGAAGAGAGCGCGCCCCTTGGGCCCGGACGGGGTTCACATACAGAACACCACCGCACTTGGGCCCCGTCAGGAGGGAAAGAAACACACAGACACAATGAATCGTCGACCCCCAGGAACTGGGGGGGAAGACGAAAACATAGAAAATATTGCAAAATAGTGGGAATCCTGTTATTTGTGTGCATGTATTGCGAAGGCCTTACGGCGGGTGCCGCCGACCCTGAATGGCGACGACGACGACGACGACGACGACGAGCGCTCTTGGGGGCCTCTTGGGGGTAGTTTGTGGGCCTCTTGGGAAGGTCTTAGGGGTCGCTTGGAAGCCTCGTGGGGGCCTCTTGGGGCTTCCTGGGGGTCTCTTGGAGGGGGCCTGGGACGTCTTGGAGGCTTCTTGGACGGTCTTGGGGCTGTCTTGGGCGTTTGCGGCAGATCTTTGGGCGACTCGGGGCCCTCTTGGGCCGTCTCGGGGGCCATCTTGGGCATTCGGACCTCATTTGGAGTGTTTTCGAGGTTTCTAGGCCGCCCGAGGAAAAACGAATCTGCCCCCCCACCCCCCCGGGACCCCCCCCCCCCTGGGGAAGGGATCAAAGGGAAGGGGCTTCCCTTCGACTCGATTACGACACTGCTAGATTTTTCTCTCGCTCACGAGCTTGAGAAGGAAGCTGCAGGGAAAGGGGACGACGGAGGCGACGACCGACGGAGACGACGACTCGAACAGCCAAGCCCCTCGCACACGCCGACAGGGTCGGCGGATTTGTGTGTCCTAGGGCCCCGTCGTGGCAGATGGCGAGGCGTCTGGAGGGGCGAAGCGTCCGGAGCTGTTGGAATTGTGAAGGCCTGACGCCCGGTGCCGCCGACCCTGAAAGACACCGGAGAGGACCAGGAGGAGGAGGAGGAGGAGGCGGAGGAGGAGGAGGAGGAGGAGGAGGAGGAGGAGGCGGAGGAGGCGGAGGAGGAAAAGGACTCCCCCCTGGACCCCCCCCCCGGGGGAAGAGGACCGGAGGAGGACTGGCGTGGGAGAGAAGGCGGTGCGAATCTGACACCCCCCCAGGAAGTTCCCCCCCCTCCCGCCGGGGAAGGGACAAAGGGAAGGGCCTTCCCTTTGACGTGACTACGACGTGGGTCGATTTCCCTGAATCCCTAGACTCCTTCCCCGACGACGGGAGAGTGCTTTCTACCTCCCGACGGGGAAGGATAAACAGAAAAGGCGTCCCGTCGACTGGACGAGACAGACCCCCCACGCACGCCGACAGGGTCGGCGGATTCCCGAACAGTGCTGGACCTAAACGCCGTTTTGCTGGACGTCGACTGTGTCTTGTTTTTTCGGTTTTGGGAGGGAGGTGCAAGAAGGCAAGGAGAGCATAATGAACAACAAAACGAAACATAGCGTTTAGGTCCAGCCCTGCTGAGACATGTTTTGGGTGGCGATGCCCGCGGAGGCTGGGGCTGTAGGCGGGACAGCGCGGAAGGCGCGGGGGTGAGGGAGCCCAGAATCACGACGTCGTGAGTTTTTCACCACGTGGTTCCCTGGATTTTCGTCCCAAGTCGTCGACGGCCCCGGAGCCCAGCAAGGGCCCCAGGGCTATGGGAATTACACTGACAAAAAAACATCCCGTCGCGATTTTCCGTGACGAGAGCAGGTCTGTTTTTCGGGCCAGAACTCGGGCTTTCCGCGGCTACTCGGGATGATCCGCTTACCCTTGGAACACTTCCGGCGAGGCGCCGTTGCTGCAGAGCACCCCGAGGCTGGAAAACCGATGAGAACCGACGAAGACGCCCCCCGAGAACGCAAATGGCCGAAAATCTGCCGCCGTGATTCGGCGGCGACGGCTGCGCCCCTGGGAGTCCAACGTCAGCTCGGACTACGGAGTGCAAGCTCTGAGGAGGAGGACGACGAGGAGGAGGAGGAGGAGGAGAGGACGAGGAGGACAAGGAGGAAGGGGAGGAGGAGGAGGAGGAGGAGGAGGAGGAGGAGGAGGAGGAGGACGAGGACGAGGACGAGGACGAGGAGGAGGACGAGGAGGAGGACGAGGAGAAGGACCACTGCCCAACGAAGAGACGTGGGGGAGGCAACACCACTGCCGTGGAGCCTCGGGGCCCCGCCCTGCCGCGCCCTGGCAGGTCGAGCGGGGCGGACAGCACCTCGCCGATTGCCACTCGGGCACGGTGCTGGGCGAGCTCGCCGTGCTGGGGCTGGACAAGAGGCTCTGGGGGGTTCCCTTTCTCAGGGCCTAGGCGGAGGAGGAGGAGGAGGAAGAGGAGGAGGAGGAGGAGGAAGAGGAGGGGGGGGGAAGGCAGGATAATGGAAGGGGAGGAAGGGGACAAGGTGCCCTGGGGCCTTCGGGGGGGCCCTTTCCCAGGGCTCTTGGTTCAGGTCGGGCCTGTCCCTGTGCAGGAGGATATTCCAAAATAGTCAACAAATAGTCTGGGGACGTTTTTTTGAATATGTTGTGGCTATTTCTTAGTTTTTTTAACAATGGTTCATCTGTTGCCCACAAAACCGCCTGTAGGGGGACCGGCACGACTGAAGCTTAGGGGAACGAAGAATGACATAAACATTAAAACTCGGAGGTCCGCGCGGATTTCTCGGATCGGCGCTGGAGCCCCCTGGCGGCGCCTCCGGCGCCGCCCCTGGCGCGCTCCGCGCGCCGGGGAGGAGGGTCCAGCGCGGATCCGAGAAAGCCGCGCGCACCTCCGAGTTTTTCTTTACGTCATTCTTCGTTCCCATAGTCGTAGGGGGACGTACCCGACCTAAAGGAAGGGGGATCCAGCGCCGATCCAAGAAATCAGCTCGGACCTCCGAACGCTTCTGCTTCTGTAGTTTGTCGTTCCTCGACCACGGTTCACAGAGGGCGAGAAAGACGCACGGGGTCAGTTTCCGGAGGGGCTTTCGGATGTCTGCCTCCCTTTCTGGAGGTTTTTCTGCGTTGGGATGCGTTCTAGCATCTGCGCCTCACCGAGAACGGTCTCGGGGTGTCCGAATCGTCCCGACCGGCCGCCAGATACTAGGACATCCGCGTGGAGTTCCGAAGGTGTATGTTGATGACGTATTTCTTGTTCTTGCTCTATAGCTCCCGTCATTGTGTGCATTGTCTCACTCTGACTACAGCTCTGCGGGGGCATGTGCCGTTCCCCTCTGTTGAGCAGCGATGTTTTCGCGACGAACCGCAGTGCACCAGACCACATCGCAACACGTCATACCACCAGCAATGGACTACTCTACACAGCGACGCTTACAGTGCACACCGTGCACCATGCCACAAATTACGTGCTTTGCACTACCATGAATACAGGAAGTTGCCTGCAGTCAAGTTTCCATCTCGTCGTCCGTACACGCACTGCGTATACAGGTGTGCTTACCTCCGTACACAGGAACACGTGCGCCACTACAGTCTACTAGACAGTTCCATGTGCTGCATCACATTCAATTGAATCAGATGTACGCACGTGTCCTTGTTATTCTTGACCCCATTAAGCAACTACCGTATTCGATGAACGGGTATACGTCCGTGTTGCCATTCAGTTCCATGGATGTTGTGGTTGTGTTGTGTTGAGGTTCTAGACGCTTTGCGTAACCCCACCAGCTCATCTAGAAACGATTCCCAGGCGAGTTGCCCTGATCAGGGATGTGCATGAGCATGTTGTGGAATAAGGGGTTGGGGACGCCGTCATACCCAAGAGGGGGAGGGAGGAGGAGGCTGAGGAGGAGGAGGAGGACGAGGAGACGGAGGGCGCGCGGACAGGCCAGAGGCATGTTGGATGCCTCTCGGAGTCTCTTCTTCGTGGAGTCATCTTGGCTCGTCTTGGGGGCCTCCTGGCGGTCCCAGGGGCATCTTGGAGCGTTGTGGGTGCCTCTTGGGGGGCCTCTTGGGGCTTCATGGGGGTTTCTTGGGAGCCCCTTGCGGACCTCTTTGGGGTTTCTTGGGGTCTTCTGGGCGCCTCTTGGAGCACTCTCGGGAGCCGTGGGATCCATCTTGGGGCCACCTTGGAGGAGTTCGGTCAATGACGGGTGGGGCACTTCCTCAGCCACCACCCAGGAAACCAAGCTTAACCCTAACCCTAAGGGCAATACCTTATGGTTGCCTTCTCGCCGAGGCCTTCTTGGCCGCTCCAATGTGTCGCGAAACCCTCCGCCCAGGTCCAGGGGAGGGGGTAGGGGTAGGGGTCAAGACACTTCTCCCAGACGCAAAGTGGTTGGCTTACTCCCACCCGTACTCCGTCACATTCGTATCACCCTAGTCTCAGCATCGTCAGCGGTCGTCTTTGGACCGGCAGCCACTGGGAACCAATACAGCCCCCAGGTGCGCGACTTTGGGGCGAGGTGCGCCACGCGTGCCAGGCGCGCCACGCGTGCCAGGCGCCCATGAGGTCAAAGCATGCCAGGCACGCATCGTGCGCCAGATGTGCCACGTGCGCTAAGTGTGCCGCATGCTTCAGCCGCGTCAGGTGCGCCGGCATCGGGGCACGCTCAGAGTGTGCCAGGTGCGCCCGCGCACATCGGGAAACATGTCGCTGCGGAGTGGCCATCATGATGTCTGGTGGGCCTGCGCACATCAGGGAACGTGCCAACACCCCGCTGCCCCTGCCAAAAACCAGTGCAACGCGATCGCGGCGTGCCCGCGCATGTATCAGATTTAGCCGCGAAGTGCAGTGTTGTTTGTCTGACAGTGATGGTGGCCCTGCGCACAGCAGGCCATACGCTGCCTCCCCCGCCGTAATACAGCGGGCTCTCGCGGGGCCCCGGAGCATAACCCAAGATTTAGACGCAAAGTGCATGTTACATGGTCTTGGTTCTCCACATCCTAAGTGGGGTTCTTGCTTTTCTCTGGACACCCCGCGCAGCTCTCACAACTCACCTCACACCCCCAATTGCCCTCACCACCATCACACCATCAGAGATTATCAGCATCACAAGCAATACCATCACTACCACCATCTCATCACAATCACCATTACCACCATCATTGCTAATCACAGCGCACGCCAGTCGTTGAGAGTATGTAGTTATGGATTCCCAGTTTCCAATCCACGTCGAGCGCCTCCCTACTTGGTGTTTCCACGTGCTTCTTCCATGGCGGATGCATGGGTGGGGCTTGAAGAAAGGTGCAATTCTTGTGCACCGAAGGGACCCTAAGAGGGACCCCATTGGCGCCCCAAGGGGGCACGAAGCAACGCCCTTCCTTCAAGTCGGGCATGTCCCTCAACAGGAATATTCAAAGATAGTAAGAAATAGTCTGGGGACGATTCTCCTATTATTTTTCCGACAATGTTTGAGCATTTTCTGACATCTTATTTGTCCTCCAAAACCCGCTTGTGGGAGGACACTCCCGACCTAACCCTACCTGCACCCCCTGTCCTGCCCGACGGAACGGAGGCAGCACTCGGGACAACGCGGCCGCGGCACGGGGAGTTCTTTTTGGGCTGGCGCGGCGAGAACAGGCACACAGTAAGGGAGCACGTTCGAGGAGGACGCGGGCGGGTGGTGATCGAGGAAGGAGAAATGCCACCAACAGAAACTCTGCTTTTTTGTTCGATCGGCGTTGGAACACCCCTCACCTCGGCGGCGGTCCAAGGCGTCCGCGCGGAGCTCCGAAAGGTTTACGTGTATGTCGCTTCTTTTTCCAGCTAAGGAACGCGATATCAGCGGCTGAGGTTTCCAAACAGCGAACGACACGGCATCGATCATGTCTTGATCATTGTATTGTTGTGGTTTGCGTTCCTCCTCTCTGGCGTGCGCAGGCGCACCGCCACTGTAACCGCCAAGAAGTTGTGCCTGGTGTACGTTCTGCACGGCCACCCGCCAGCCTCTTGCCATCGTTCCCCCGCTTGCTTGTAACTAACTAGATTCCCATTGTCCACGTGGTGTTAGCTGGGCCTGCACGCCTGTCTGCATGAGTCGTTGCTCGCTCGCTCGCCTTGTGCTTGCGGCGCTAGGGCGGCGGCGTAAGGGACACGTACGTCGCGTCGTTGTCTTTCAGTTCCCGATCATCTGTGTTCCGTGCAGCCCACCTTGAGCATTCCTCATGCGGCTCTGTTTCATCTTTTACGTTCTCGAGATTGCTTAATGTGTGCTGCCCTAGGCCTTGAGCAGTCGCGTGAGGGCCTCGCAAAGTGTCGTCCGTTTATCGACCCGATCGTTCACATTGTTACTGGCTACATCGACTATGCCGTTCTCGTTGCGGTTGGTCGCCAATGAGATTGTCGTCGTTTTTTTTTCCCGTTTCCCAGCGTCCTTGTCGAACCGAATGTATGTCGATATTCATTTGGTCGCGAGCGCTCGGAGGAACTTTGGTGCTGTCCCATGCCAGGCTACCACCAAAAGCGACGACGTCCGAAAATTGCCAGTTGCCCAACGGAAGGGAAGGATCATCCACCATTCTAGGATTGGTCAAAGAGCAACGGTTATACCAGGGGCGCCCCCGAGGGCGCGAAGTCATTAGCGCTTCGCGAGTCGGCTCCCATTTCTCCTCGTCCTCCTCTTGTCCCCTGGGGGGTCAGCACGAGAGCACAACATTAGTCGCGCTTCTCGCAGCGCGACGCGCGAAGTTAGGCGCCCTTGTATATGGATGGGGTGGGGGGTGGTTGCCGAAATGGGGTTCTCGCCCAAGCGCCACACATTCGGCGTAAAGGCTTCCAGCACTTGCAATGATGGGGTGTGATTCCGTCTCAATCGGGGGCTCTCGCCTCAGCGCCGCTCACCTTCGCCTGGAATGTTCGCAACAGCTGCAAGTATAGAGCGCGAGTTTCTAAATGCGGCTTTCGCCTGAGACTTCCGTAATTCGAACGACCAAAAGTTGCAGTACGTGTGCAGCAGCTGCGCGTATGAAAGGAGCTCCTCTTCAGAATGGGGTTCGCGCTTGAGGTTTCATGGAAGCTCGATGCCGTCGGTGCACACGTGTGCAACATTTACACAGACACGGGGGCGGCCTTGTTGCCAAACCGGGCATCATAATTATTTGTTCGCGTCCCCTACTGCTCGCCAGAAGGGTGCAGCACGGTGCCTTTGCAAAAGGCCCCCCCCCCCGCATGCATGGCAGGCACATCGGGTGTTGGTCTTGCACGCGGGCGCATTTTGGGGTGAAAAGCACGGCGTGTGGGGATCTGCGCGGAAGGGGATCGGGATTGAAAGACATGTTACCCGAAGAAAAAAAAACATAAACATAAATTGTTGCCGCTCGGCGCGGATTTCTTGGATCCGCGCCTGGGCTTCCTCGGCGGCGCCTCCGGCGCCGCCCCTGGCGCGATCCGCGCTCCAGGGAGGAGGGTCCAGCGCGAATCCAAGAAATTCATGCGGATCGCCAAAAGTTTATGTCTATGTGTTTCTTTCCTTCTTCTGGTAACAGCAGTTCTTGTTATGCACTTCTGATCACCACCCACGAGACCACCCCAGCCCAACCCGAAGGTCCCAGTCTGCCCCCCATTCCCAGTGTGAGGGGGGGGTGCGGGCGTCCGGGAGCATTGAACAAGCAAATATGGAACCCGTACCCCCCCCCCCACACCAACCCAAACCCGGAAGGTAGATCTTCGGGTTGGGCTGGGGCGTCTGGGTATGTAGTCACTTGCGTTTACTCTGGTCCTCCTCCTCCTCCTCGTCCTCACCGTCCTCCTCCCTCCTGGGGGGGAAGGAGCCCGACGCCCGCCCCCTCCCCAACAGAAGGGGTTGCTCCAACACGTAGCGTCTCCTCGCTATCGCCTTCCTCTCCTCCCTCCTCCTCCTCCTCCGCCTCCTCTGCCTCCTCCTCCTCCTCCTTCTCCTTCTCCTCCTCTCCCTCTCCTCCTCCTCCTCCTGCTCCTCCTTCTCCGCCTCCTCCTCCTCCTACTCCTACTCCTTATCCTCCTCCCCCTTCTCCTCCTCCGCCTCCTCCTCCTCTCCCTCTCCTCTCCTGTTCCTCCGTCCTCCTCTCCTGCTTCTCCTCATCCTCCTCCTCTCCTCCTCTAGTCTCTCCTCCCCCTTCTCCTCCCCCATCCTCCCTCTTCCTGCTCCCCCCCCCCCACCCGTCCCCCCCCCCCCGCAAGCTGCCCCAGAGGCAGGAGAAACGGCGGCCTTGGCAGTTCGTGGGCCCTTCGGCCCGGCTCCCCGCGAGGTTGTCTCGGCCAGGTCGGCTCGCTGCCTCTCGGAGGGGTGGGTGCACCAGCCGGGGGAGAGGAGGGAAATGGGGGAGAGGAGGAAGGTCGGGAGACTCTCCATGGGGGGGGATCCCATGGGGGGGCAGAGGGGATCCCCCCCATGGGATCCCCTCCTGCCCCCCCATGGGATCCCCAGGGGATCCTATGGGATCCTCCCCCTGGGATCCTATCCCCCCATGGGATCCCCCCCCATGAAGAGTCTCCCGAGAAGGAGGAGGACGAGAAGGAGGCGGAGGACGAGGCGGAGGAGGACGAGGAGGAGGAGGAGGCGAGGGGAGTGATGGACGGGGAGGATGGAGGAGGCGAGGGGAGGGGGAAAAGGAGGAGGAGGACGACGAGAAGGAGGACCAGTTTAAACCAGAGACGCATCAGCGATGTTGCAAACAAATCCTCCCTCCATGTTCCCTCTTCGTAGGTTCCTGTGACGATTCAGTTTCACTTCTGCAAGTGCTCCGTTAGAAGACAAGCGCCCCAAAATCCTTAACCGTGCCTTGGATGTCCATGCTGCAATCAGCTGTAGTGTTGCGCCCTGACGATCATCAATCGTGCCAAACACCACTGGTGGGCATCAGCACCGCGAGTCAACGTGACTGTTGCGTCCTTGTCGTAGCTTCTTGTTGATTCTCCTGCCGAGCGGCGCGGCCCCCCGCCACCCTCCCCCCCTCCCCGGAGAGCGGATGATCTTGGCTGTTCTGGGCGGCTGCTTCTGGCGACTGGTCAGGACATTTCCCCCCCAGTCTCCTGGCGTGACTGGCAAAAGCGGATCGACCTAGCACCGTCCCAGGCCCAGATGCCCTTTTCCCCCCACACTTCGGCCAAATCTCAGAACCCCGAATAGAAAAACGGCAGCCCCAACTCGTACATCGCATTCGAGCACAATTCCCAGGACGGCCCAACATATGAATCCGTCTAAGTACCCCAAGGTTTGAATGGAACTCGCGCACCGCACAGGCGAGAGCCACGTTTTGAGAAAGAGCCACCTTCCATTCGTAAATGTGCGGGGCGCCGAGGCGAGAGCAACATTTTGGAAACCAGCCGCCCTCGATCCGTGAAGCTCATGCAGTGTTTTGCGTCGAGCCTGTGCGGCGTTCGGGCGGGGGCCACGATTTGAAACAGACCCGTCCTCCATTCGTCAAACCCGCGTGAACTTCCAACACCAATGAGCGCGGCGCGCAGGCGAGAGCTACAGTTCAGGAGGGAAAACAACACACAGACACAAGTAATCGTCGATTCCCCAGAAAATATGGGAAACTATGTGAAGTGTGGGGAGAAGACAAAAACAGAGAACATATGTGAAAATCTGGGGGATCCTTTTATGTGTGTGTACTTACTTGTGTGTCCCCAGGGCCCCTTCAAATGAGCGCGGCTAAGTTTGTCACCACCCACCAAACCACCCCAACCCAACCCGAAGGCTCAGATTTACCCTCGATTTCCAGTAGGGGGGGGAGGGTCGGGAAACAGCGAAAAAACACATGTGGAACCCTTACCCCCCCAACCCGAAATTCGGGTCTTCGGGTTGGGTTGGGGTGGTCTGGTACAGTGAGCGGCTTGAACAAGGAACACTTACTTTTCAAAAGGGGCTCTGTCGTTCCTCAGGCTTGCATGCGTTATTTGTCGCTCCTTATGCGATATGTATTATAGATCGTTCCCTTCCTTGCTCGTTACTCCTTGGAAAAAGGGGCTTCGTTCCAAATTGATCGTTCCTTAGGTCAGGCCGATGACTGTAGGTAGCCCGTTTGATGGAAGCGCCACCCATCAGCGGAGCTCGCGGGAGCTTTCAGAGGCGCACGGGCGCGGCGCGCGGGCGAGGGCCACCTTCTGGCCGCGGCCCGCCCTCGACCCGCGAGGCCCTGGCAGATGTTGAAGAGCGTGCGCGGCGTCCAGGCGAGGAAAGAAACTCAGGAGGGGAAAACAACACACACACAGACACAATGAATCTTCCACCCCCAGGAAAATATGGGAAAATATGGGGAAGTGGGGGGGAAGACGAAGATCCAAAACATATGGAAAAGTATGGGCGGCCTTTTTGGTCGGCGGGTCGAGAGCGGGCCTCTTCCGGTTAAGAGCTAGGCGGGGCGCGCGAAGCACTAATTGGGGAGACAGGGCGCGGGCGGGCGGGGCCTCAGGCGGCTGGAGGGTGCGGAGAACAGGCGGTGCCGAAGAGCTTGCACAAGGGGAAAAACACACAGACACAATTAATCGTCCACTCCCAGGAAAATGTGGGAAAATATGGGGAAGTGTGGGGGGAGACGAAGATCCAAAACGTATGGAAAAGTATGGGGAGTCCTGTTATGTGTGTGTGTATTTGTTTGCGTGTCCCTAGGCCCCTTTAATGCGCGGCGTCCAGGCGAGACAAGAAGCCACCGTTCAAAACAGTCGTTGGTCCGTGAAGAAGCGCCTACGCTAAGACAGCTGTGCGCGGCGTTCAGGCGAGAGCCACATTTCGGAACAA